TGGATGGCTGATTGATTTACTGTATGCACTTTATAGTTTTAGTGCATGGCTTTTACTTTCATTTGCATGTGACTTGGAAAGTCTTTTGCGCTAGTAAGGCAGGACAAGGAGCTTAAAATCCGCTTACTCCAGTGTTAACACGCTGGCCTCATTATCTTTGCACCAAGACCGAGTTCCAGGACATGTTTTTCGAAGCCGGGCTCTGCTGTGGACAATGAACCTGTAACGAACCCCCTCGGCCTGTCCGCACACCCCTAGAATTACAAATCCAGTTGTGGTTTCTAGAAATGCTTTGAAGCCTGACATCTTTTTTTTAATTAATTACCAGAACATCCAATATCTCTACGGCTGACCTCAGAGGTTCCACAATTCTCATGCTGACAGTAATTGCACAACCTGCCTCCTCTGGAGCCTAGGCAGTGCCTCAAAATCTTTCAGGGGCTTTATAATTCCCCCCCCCCCATTGTCACAGCGGGGATTAAGCAGGTCAGAATGGGGAGGAGCTTTCAGCATAGATGGCTGTTAATCTGCTTTAAACTGGATAGTTGTTTCCTCGTGTCCCATCCCCAAAGCGTTTGAACCAAGGGGCCTAAGGTATATCTTGCAATTTGTAGTTCCTTGGTCTCCCAGGTAACTGGTTGCCGTCCCATTGGGGGGGGAGGCAGAAAGGTGATGCCGCAAGAGCCACAGGCCTGGTGTTTTGTTTCTGGCTTAGAGGGTGGCAGAGGTGCACGTGTATTCTCCACAGCGGCACTATGGTGTAGGCCGGAGGGTTGAGGGGGCCATGCCTGGGTTTGAAGCAGGGATTGGTACCGTCCTTTATTATTTATTTATTTTATTAGATTTATACCTCACCTGCCCCGTTGAGGCAGGCTCAGAGCGGCTTAATTCTGGCACAGATGTTATTGAAAAAGACCAGTTCCTGTCAAGAGCTCTCTCAGCCCCAGGTACCTCACAGGGTGTCTGTTGTGGGGAGGGGAACGGAAAGGAGTTTGTAAGCCGCTCTGAGACTCCTTTGGGTAGTGAAGGGCGGGGTATAAATCCACCCTCCTCCTCTTCCTCTTCCTCCTCCTCCTCCTCTTCTTCTTCTTCCTCTTCTTCTTCTTCTTCCATTAAAAGTTAAAAACAGGTTAAAATCATAAAACATTTATAAGGTGCTATATATAGATACTACGTATATGATGGCAAAACATAGTTTTTAATATTAACCATAGCAAGTATCCAATCATCAGTGGTTGCCAGACTGCTGTCCAGGTCCCATTGTATATTAAAAATACAGGCACGGCACAAATAGCCAATGATGGATTCCAGGGCAAGGCTCTTAAATCTGTGTTGAATTATTAAATGCTGCTCCTCAGTCGAGTGCCTGGTGGAAGAGCTCCATCTTTCAGGCCCTGCAGAATTGTAATAAATCCCGCAGGGCCCTGATATCCTTGGGGAGTTCATTCCACCAGTGTGGAGCCGCCACAGAAAAAGCCCTAGCCCTGGTGATGGCCAGTCTGGCCTCTTTAGGACCAGGGAGAGTCAGGAGGTTTTGTGTCCCTGAATGCAGTGCTCTCTGGGGGAACATGTGGGGAAAGGCGGTTCCTCAGGTATGCTGGCCTCTGACCATGAAGGGCTCTATAGGTAAGAACCAGCACCTTGAAGCGAATTCGGTATGCTATAGGCAGCCAGTGCAGTGCTTTCAGCGCAGGCTGGATGTGTTCTCACAAAGAGAGACCCAACAACAGCCTGGCCACCACATTATGGACCAGCTGCAACTTCCAAATTTGGGACAAGGGCAGCCCCATGTAGAGAGCATTGCAGTAGTCTAATCTCGAGGTGACCATTGCGTGGATCACTGTTGCCAAGTTGTCACGTTCAAGGAAGGGAACAACTGCCTAATCAGCCGAAGATGGTAGAAGGCCAACTTAGCAGTGGCTGCTACCTGAGCCTCCATTGTTAAGGAGGCATCCAAGAGGACTCCCAAACTCCTAACCTCCGACGATGGTACCAGTTAAGGAGGCATCCAAGAGGACTCCCAAACTCCTAACCTCCGACGATGGTACCAGTGGCGCCCCGTCGAAGGTCAGAAGTGAGATCCCTAACCCTGGAACACTGCAACTTAGGTACAGAACCTCCGTCTTTGTTGGATTCAATTACATTTAGCTCAGTCTAAGCCATACAGGCACAGCTTGTAACACCAGGTCCAGATCTTCCGGTCCAGAGTCAGACCGGCTGCCCAACAACAGATATAGCTGGGTGTCATCCGCATACTGGTGACCAGTGTTCCCTCTAAGCTGAGTTAGTGTGAGCTAGCTCACAGTTTTTTAGCCTCTGGCTCACACATTTTTGTCCTCGCTCAGGAAGGAGGGCTCCAGAGCAGACTAATTTATGCAGTAGCCAAATCGCTAACTCACAACTTTAATGCCAGTAGCTCACAAAATAGAATTTTTGCTCACAAGACTGCAGAGCTTAGAGGGAACATTGCTGGTGACAGCCCAGCCCATGCCTCCGGGCAATCAGGGCAAGGGGACGCATGTAGATGTTAAATAACATTGGGGAAAGGCACTCTGCAAATCAGTGGATGCCTTGAGGCACTCTGCAAATCAGTGGATGCCTTCGGGACAGTTTTTCCCCTAGTGCCGCCCTTTGTCCCCAACCCTGGAGGAAGGAGGAGAGCCATTGTAAGGCAGACCCCTGGACCCCAGCGTCGGTGAGGCATTGGATCAGTAACTGATGGTCAACCGTGTCGAACACAGCTGACGGGTCTAACAACAGCAGTACCACCACCCCGCCCTGACCCAGATGTCTTCGGAGGTCATCCATGAGGGCGACCAGTGCCGTCTCCGTCCCACGGCCTGGCTGAAAGCTCTGCAGCTGACTTGCCACTGCTCTCTCAGTTATTTTGCCCAAATAGGGCAGGTTGGAAACCGGTTGATAATTTGCCAATTCATCCGGGTCCAGAGCAGTGTTCCCTCTAAAATGAGTGAGTGTGAGCTAGCTCGCAGTTTTTTAGCCTCCGGCTCACACATTTTTGTCTTAGCTCAGGAAGGATGGCTTCAGAGCAAACTAGCTTATGCAGTAGCCAAATTGCTCGCTCACATCTTTAATGCTAGTAGTTCACAAAGTGGAATTTTTGCTCACAGGACTCTACAGCTTAGAGGGAGCATTGGTCCAGAGATGGTTTCTTTAAGAGAGGATGAACTACCACTTCCTTAAGTGCCCCAGGGCACTTCAGAGAGGGACTTGTTAACAATCTCCCTTAGGGGACCTCGCAACCCATCACAGCCAGCTTTGGTTAGTCATGATGGGCACGGGTCAAGGGTGCAAGTGGTAGGGCATATGGTTGAGAGTATTCTGTTAACCTCCTCTAGGACGAGCTGACTGAAGCAATCCATAACCTGACTAGAAGATGTGCATGGAGCCTCGAGTTCACTTACTGCTTCAACTGTGGCAGGGAGGTCATGGCAGAGCAACAAGATTTTATCTGCGAAAAAGCTCGCAAAAGCCTCACAATGAATATCTAACTCCCTAGCATTTGGTCTGCCTTGAGGCAGAATAGTCAAAGACCGAATCATTCTAAATAATTGGGCTGGGTGTGAGCTCACAGATGCAATCGTGACCACATAATCATCTCCCTCGGCAGCCTTGATTGCCATCTCATAGGTCCTCATAAATGACCTATAGGATGTTCTTGTTGTTTCATCATGAGCATGCTGCCACTGTCTCTCTAGCTGTCTTAGCTTCATCAGCCGCAACTCCAGGGTAAACCATGGAGCCAGCCTAGAGCGGGGGCGTCGAGGGCATCGGGGAGCGATCTCGTTGATGGCTGCAGAAAGTCAGCTGTGCCAGTCTTCCACAAGCTCATCCAACAAGCCACCAGGGGGCATGGGATCCTGCAGGGCCGTCTGAAGCCGCATTGGGTCCATTTGGCTCAGTGGACGAGCTAAAATACCCATGCTGCCCAAACCGGGTCGGGGTGGAACATTCACACGGGCCCTCAAGGCATGGTGGTCTGACCATGGCACTGCTTTAGCAGTGATCCTGTCCGACGCCCGCCACAATAATCAAGTCCGTATGCCCTGCCCGGTGAGTGGGAGCCGCTACATATTGGGATCGTCCTGGCGCCGCCATCTCTTGCATGGAGGCCAAGTTGTTGGTATGGACATTGAAGTCACCCAGGACTATTAACCTAGGGTGCTCCAACGTCCAGCCTGACATGGCCTCCACCAGGGACGGTAGGGTATTGGCTGTCGGTACACCAGCCAAATAGCCAAACTCTCCCCGGCTTCCCACACCAGGCCAGTGCACTCTGTGCCAATGATCTTCGGCGGTGGGAGTGCCATGAAGGAGTAAGCCTCCCGAATGGACAGAGCCACCCCTCCCCCATGTTTGCTGGAGGACCAAGGACCTGGGAAGAGTTAGTTGGGAGAGAGCAATTGTCGCCCCATATCGTACCCAGGTCTCAGTCACACACGCCAGTTCCACACCCTGCTCCAGCAGGAAGTCCTTTCCCGTGGCTCTGAAGAGCTCTCGTTTAGCCGAGTGATACTCTCTCTCTTCTTTGCCATCGAGTTGCTGCAGCTGCCTTATGGCACCCTCGTAGGGTTTTCGAGGCAAAAGACGTTCAGAGGGGGCTTGCCTCTGCCTGCCTCTGCGTAGTGGCCCTGGTATTCCTCGACGGTCTCCCCCTCCAAGGACTGACCAGGGCCGACCCTACTCAGCTTCTGAGATCTGACGAGATCGGGCTTGCCCGGGCCATCCAGGACAGGGCATTCTCTTCTTCTTCTTTTTAAAAATAGTTTATTTATCGTTTTCCATAACAAGGACAGGGCATTCCCATTTAGGACCCCCCTGCGAATGTTCCTTGGAACGCAGTATACAAAGGATCTTTCCTCTTGGACTGAAACGTATTTTGCGCAGGGTTGGAAGAGAACGAGTCGATAGACACTGAACGGGCGGAAGCAGAAGCGAAGCTGATTCCTCCTCCCCCTCTTCTTTCCCCCTCTCTTTTGCAGGGACAATGGAGATCTCTCTGGGCCAGTGGCTCCTTATCCTGTTCCTGGTGGTGGTCCCGCTGCTGTATGAATGGAGCGCCACCTTCAAGTACTTCTGCAAGATGGGCTTCTACAACGGCTACATCCTCTTCCTGGCCATCCTCGTCATCCCAGTCTGTGCGCTTCGCGGGCGCAACGTGGAAAACATGAAGTGAGCTTCTCGCACTGGGCTGTGCCCTGCAACCCTCCCCAACCTACCCTGGGCTGATGCCGCTGTCCCGTCCGTGGTCTCTCCTGTCCAAACAAATCTTCCTGGGTTGGGCGGAGTATGATTTTGTGTCATAAGCGTTTCACTTATGAGTTGGAATTCCCTGCACTGTGTTCACACCGAGGGTACTTCTACGGGATAACTCTGTCTGGAGCAACCCACCTTCATACGTATGTGGCGGTGGAAAGAACATAAGAACATAAGAGAAGCCAGTGTTGGATCAGGCCAATGGCCCATCCAGTCCAACACTCTGTCACACAGTGGCCAAAAATATCAGGTGCCATCAGGAGGTCCAGCTGTGGGGCCAGGACACTAGGAGCCCTCCCACTGTCCCCCCCCCCCAAGCACCAAGAATACAGAGCATCACTTGCCCCAGACTGAGAGTTCCTATCTATTCCTTGTGGCTAATAGCCACTGATGGTCCTCTGGTGGTGGCCCATCAAGTTGCAGCTGACTTAGGGCAACCCCATAGGTTTTCAAGGCAAGAGATGTTGGGAGGTAGTTTGCCATTGCCTGCCCCTGCATCCGGGCCTTGGGCTTTCTCCCATCCAAGTACTAACCAAGGCTGACCTTGCTTAATTTCCAAAATCTGAAGAGATCAGGCTGCCCTGGGCTATTCAGGTCAGGGCTCCTGTGTATACTTAGGAATAGATTGCAGTCCACCAGATATAGGATCATAAGAAGAGCTCTGCTGGATCAGACCAGGGGTCCATCTAGTCCAGGATTCTGTCTCACACAGTGGCCAACCAGTAGCTCTGGAGGTCCAACAAAAGGGCACAGAGGCTGAGACCTTCCCCTGATATGGCCTCCTGGCACTGGTATTCAAAGGTTTACTGTGTCTGAACGTGGAATATCTCTTTAGCCACCATGGCTCGTAGCCGTTGATAGTCCTGGCCTCCATGAATCTGACTAATCCCCTTTTAAAGGTATAAAGAAGAGCTCTGCTGGGTCAGACCAGGGGTCCATCTAGTCCAGCATCCTGTCTGACCATTCCCCTTTTAAAGCTATCTGTGCCCGAGGCTGTTGCTAGGGATGGGCACGAATCTTTGTTCAAGACAAATTTTGGCTGGTTCGTGGTATGTGAACTGAAGTTCGCAAACTGCAACCTGGCCGTGAACCTCCACAAAATTTTAAGGTAGTATGTGGAGTTTTGTGGGTGCATGGGGAGCAAAAAGCCTCCACATCCCCACCACCAAAAGATCGGGCTCAAAATAGCTGAGTCTGGTCTCCTGGCTCAACTGTTTAAAGGGGCTTTCTTAGGCAGCCAGTCCCTGGGGCTGGCCACCCAAGAAAGCCCCTTCAAACAGGTGAGCCACAGGAGCAGGCTGCCCCTGTGGCTCAGCTTCTTTTGGGCACAAACCCAGTTCAGTTTGTATGTGAGCTTGACTGGGTTCGTGGCTTGCCCTAGCCTTTTTGTGGTTCGTGCCCATCCCTACACATCACTACAGCCTCGGGCAACAAATTCCACAAAATCACTCACTGTGTAAAGATGTATTTCCTTTTGTCTCTCCTGAACCTACTGCCTCTCCACTTCATTGGATGACCTCAAGTTCTAGTATCTTGTTTCTTGATGCAGTAGCCATTCACTGAAGGGCCTCCTGTTGGAACTTACATCTTAGGATATACACGCAACTTAGAGGGCTGGGGGAATGTAGACCTTAGGAGTCATTAACATTTTCTGTCAGCCAAGGCGAAGGCAATCTCTGCAGTAATGCAGGTGCTGGCCACAAGGCCTATATTTTTACAGTGCTGGAGACTTTGGGGCACCTGGTTCTTTGTATCCCCAATAACGTGTGTGTTTGGATGAGGCATTTATATTAATCTGTCCTCCTTGGCTAGGCTTCTGTGACATCCGTGAGGTGTTGCAAACATCCTGATGCCTACAGGTGAACATTTCGGGGAGGGGGAAGAATGTTGACAAACAGTGCAACTTCTGTGAGGGATGTGAAAGGTCTCTTTTGGCCCGGGGGGAGGAGCTCATACAACTTCGGTAATAGCATATGAAATATAATCGTAGTGGATGCACGCATACACTGACAAAAGACGAAATAGCTACTGTGGCTGCCATTCAGTCTTTATCAGCACATTCAGCAAGAGCTGCTGCTGCCGAGTTTGGATTTAGTTCAGTTCTGGCAAGGTTCCTTGATGCGTGATGACTTAGATGTGCCCAGGCGGTAGCAGGAGCCCCGGCTGTTTCTGTAATCCGCCGATGGAGGACTTGCTCTACCGCCAGGGGTCATTTCGTAGAAAAAGAGCTAGGGGAACTCATTAGCATAACTCATTAGCATATGCCACACACCCTGACATCAGGGGCCTGTCGGTGGACCTGCAAGGCCAGCGGGAGTGCGTGGAAGCCACGCCAAGGCCCTCCTTGGCCCCAGGCAGGCAGGGGTGGGGAGAGGCGGGGAGGAAGCAACTTACCCTCCTCTTCTCCTGCCTCCTCCTGGCTGAATGAGGGCTGGAAGCGGGGCGGCCCGGAAGCAGGGGGCGGGGCTTCGTCGTGTGCCCCGCCCCCTGCACCTCACCCGCGTTCCCCCCCGAAATGACCTCTGTCTACCGCGCTTGGGCAAGGCCGGGTCACGGAGTCACAATGTGACATGCTGCTAACCAGACTGCCAGGCTCAGTACTTCTGGCAAAAGGGCGGAGTTTATATCAGCAGCTTCGGCGGCAGTGGCAGAGACACTGAAGGGCTGAGAGTGGGTGGCTGCCTGGCTGTCCGTCCTTGGCCTGGGAATGTGGGGAGGAGAAAGGCTTGGGTCATGCTTAAAGCATCCGACAGCAGAAGTGACTTGGAAGCTTCCTGTGAACCGCTTGAACTTCTCAGGTGGGCAGAGGAGGAGGTGGACCAAACCTGCCAAGAAGATGGGAGGGCAGATAGCAAAATAAAGCCGTAAAATTTCTTGTAGCCGCCTGGGAGCCTTAGGGAACATCAAACCTGCACCTAAGGTGTGACCTGGCAAGGCGAATGTAGGCCAGCTCACATGTGTATGTTTTGCCGTCCTAGGAAGTGGGTCCAGATTAAATGCAATGCTGGGACATCAGATGATCTTCTTCATTTGATTTGACACATGTGGAGCATCTCTGCTGGGCTTGAATCCAGCTGTTCTGGAAATTATGACGTTCCAGAGGGAAAAACAGAAATTTTGGGGGGGAAATTGAAATGTATTCAATACTTACTTTCTTATCGGGAGAAGCAAATCTCCAGGAGTAGACGGAATATCAGTAGAGATCAATAGACACAGAAGTGGAGTCCATCAAAATCTTAACAAGAATATGCCAACAATTACGGGGAAAACAATGGCCCCCAAATGTTCAGTCTACCTTCCAATTCCGAAAAAGGAGATGTCAAAGAGTGCAGCAACTGTCCTGAAAAACACAAAAGGCTTTACATCAGACAATAGCACTACAGATAAGATTAGAATTTCAACAACCTCCTCAGGAATCAGGAGACCTCCTCAGGAAAGCTTCCCCATTAGCATGTCCATAGCCTGGGTAACTCCTACAAGACAATGACTCAGCCCTACCCACCTTCTGGAGTAGATATAAATTTACTGCCTACCATTTTCTTCTCACCTTGACACAGAGAGTATTCCATCTTTCTGTGTTTATACCTCTGAGGTTGCCAGTCACAGCTACTGGCGAAACGTCAGGTTCTACAATGCCAAGACCACGGCCACACATCCCGGAAAATCTACAGCAACCAATGAACTCCGGCCCTGAAAGCCTTCGACAACATAGTTCAGCAACTATTGGGCCGTCGCATTAATTTCTCATGCGAGCAAAGTGATGCTCAAAATCTTACAAGGAAGACTGTTACCCTATATGGAATCAGTGATGCCAGATGTTCAAGCTGGATTCAGAAAAGGAAGAGGCACTAGGGACCATACTGCAAATTTACATTGGTCACTGGAGCATACAAGAGAATTTCAGAAGAAACTCAGCTTGTGTTTCCTAGATTACAGCAAAGCCTTTGACTGTGTAGATCGTGACAGGTTTGTGGTTGGTTTTAAAAGAAATGGGTGTTGTACAACATCTGATGGTTTTGTTGCGCAACCTGTACTCTGGACAAGATAGTACTATTAAGACAGAATATGAAGAAACGGAATGGTTTCCAGTTGTTAAAGGTGTCAGACAAGGATGCATTTTATCTCCCTATCTCTTCAATCTATATGCGGAACATATCATAAAGAAAGCTGGATTAGATTTATATGAAGGTGGAGTGAAAATTGGTGGAAGGAACGTTAACAGTTTGAGATAATGCAGATGACATCACGTCACTGGCCGAAAATAGTGAAGACTTGAAACAACTGCTGACGAAGGTTGAAGGAGAAAGTGCCCGAGTAGGATTACAGCAATGACTGCTGAGTAATTATACAACTTAAAGGCTAACAATGAAAAAAAATTAAATTGTTAAAAGAGTTTCTATTCTTTGGTTCCATCATCCACCCAAAGGGAGACTGCGACCAAGAAATCAGAAGGAGATGGAGACTGGGAAGGGCAGCCATGAAGGAGCAAGAAAAGAATCCTTAAGTATAAGGATGTGTCGCTGGAGACCAAAATCAAGATAATCCGTACATAGTATTCCTCATAACTATGTATTGGTGTGAAAGTTGGACAGTGAAGATGGTTGACAGGAAGAACGTAGATTCAGGTGAGGTGACCGTGTTGGTCTGAAGCGGCAGAACAAAGTTTTAGTCCAGTGGGGCACCTTTAAGACCAACAAAGTTTTATTCAAGGTATGAGCTTTCGTGTGCAAGCCCACTTCTTCAGATACCAGACATCTGTGTGCCTTGCACACGAAAGCTTATCCCTTGAAGGAAACTTTGTTGGCCTTAAAGATGCCACCGGACTCAAACTTTTGTTCAGGAAGAAAATAGATTTCTTTGAAATGTGGTGCTGGAGGAGAGTTTTACAGATACCGTGGGTTCCAAAAAGACATGCAAGTTTGTTGTAGAACTAACCAAGACTGAAGTCTTCCTAGAAAGATCCAGGTAGTCAGCCATGTTGGTCTGAAGAGAGATCCGGGTAGTCAGCTCATACCTTGAATAAACCTTTGTTGGTCTTAAAGGTGCCACTGGACTCTAAATTTGTTCTCCCTAGAAAGTAAAATGACTCGGTTGAGGCTACTGTATCTGGTCACATTATGAGACGATGAGAGTCACTGGGAAAGTGGGAGGCAGCAGGAAAAGAGAAAAGCGCCAACACAAGATGGATGCGATCAGTAAAGGAAGCCACAAAGGCCCTCAGTTTGCAAGACCTGACCTGAGGCTGTTAACAACAGGGCGTTTTGGAGGCCATTAATTCATAGGGTCACCAGGGCTTTTTTTTTCTGGGGGGAACGTGCCAGAATGGAGTTCCGGAACCTCTTTTCAAAATGTTTTAAAGTTCATGATTTTTCAGTATACAGATTGAAAACTGCATTTCCGTCTTGAGAGTTCCGGCACCTCTTTTTCCAAAACAAAAAAGCCCTGAGGGTGACTATAAGTCTGACTGCACTTAATACACACACACATATTTATTAAGCTTAAAAGTATAAAAACCTTGGGTTTTCTATGAGGAAAATGCTGGAATATACCCAGTGTTTGACTGAGGGGAGCTTCAGACTGTTGCACCGTGTGCTTCCCTCAGCATGAGTTGTCTTAGGGTTCGTCATCTGAGAGGTAGGGGGGAAATTAAAAGTTCAAGTAGAAAAAGCGAACCTTGTTGCAAACTAGCGGTGCCGTCCTGAGCAGCGTCTCTAAGCCCTTTGATAGGCGTGGATCCGCTTCAGAGGGGTTGCGTGGGGTTCAGACGGAAACAGTCTCACACCGTCGCAATTGGACTAGCGGCACCGTATGGACATTGAATTAAGCTTCATACCGCAAGGCAACACTGAACTCTTCGACCGTTCGTTATAATGTGTTCTACACATTAATTGTGGACAGGTTAGGTTTAAATAATAAACATGTCTTGGAAGAAGAGGTGTGGGGGTGGAAAATTTTCCGAAATGGACAAAACGGAAACTTTCTCCAGTGCTCTGTTTTCTCCCTTTTGAACATTTCCCCATTCAAAGTTTCCCCCCAGAAAAAACTCACATTTGAAAATGTGTGTGGTAAGCATTATCGTTATCTGATGCTGTAAAAGGTAAAGGTTCCCTTGCTTGAAAGCCAGTCGAATCCGACTCTAGGGTTGCGATGTTCATCTCCGTTTCAAAGCCGAAGAGCCAGCGCTGTCTGAAGACGTTTCAGTGGTCATGTGGCCGGCATGACTAAACACCAAGGCGCACGGGAACGCTGTTACCTTCCCACCGAAGTGGTGCCTATTTATCTACTTGCAATTTCTTGCTTTCGAACTGCTAGGTCGGCAGGAGCTGGAACTAGAGATGGGAGCTCACTCCGTCATGCGGCACCCGGGTCTCGAACTGCTGAACTACTGACCTTCCACAGCCTGCAGTTCAGCGTCTTAACCACTTGAGCCACCGCAGCTCCATCTAATGCTGTAGCTGGGTATAAAACCTGGTCTTCATAAAGAGGATTGGGTTAGATCCCATGGCAACAGGGGTGACTTCCCCTCCCCCTTTTGTATGTATGCTGATTCCCCTCTCCTGCTGCAGGCCTTCCCTTCCCCGTGCTGTTTCTAGGAGTTCCTTCCCCCACAACATTTAGGGGATCATTTTCAGTGGCAGTGGGGGAGGGGGAAGCAAGGAGATCCTCATTCTCCTGAGGGGGAATGCCTTCTGTCAATGGAGATTTACTACAAGATCCAAGCCAATGTATTTCATAAAGATTTTTCCAGTCATCCCTAAAAATAGCTGATTTTTTTTCTGTAGTAAGTGGAATTTTTTTTTCATGGGGTAAAAGAATCGTGTTTCCTGTTTCTCGTGGATCTTCACACATCTGTCTACCCTTGGGCTTTTCAGCGAACTCATGAAATCATAGAGTTGGAGGGGAACTTACAGGGTCATCTAGTCCAACCCCCTGCACAATGCCTTCCCCGTTTTCTTCAGTTCCTGTTTCTTCAGGGGTAATTCTGTTCTGCATTTGTTTTGCTCCCTCTAGTGGTCCGATATTGCACCATTTCATGTCTGGCATGTCTAAACTACACAGTATAAAAACCTGCAGTTTAAAATTTGCAGGGAGATACAGTAGACAAAGGAGCTGCGGTGGCTCAAGTGGTTAAGACGCTGAACTGCGGGCTGTGGAAGGTCGGTAGTTCAGCAGTTCGAGACCCGAGTTGCCGCATGACAGAGTGAGCTCCCGTCTCTAGTTCCAGCTCCTGCCAACCTAGCAGTTTGAAAGCAAGAAATTGCAAGTAAATAAATAGGTACCACTTCAGTGGGAAGGTAACAGCGTTCCGTGCGCCTTGGTGTTTAGTCATGCCGGCTACATGACCACGGAAACGTCTTCAGACAGCGGTGGCTCTTCGGCTTTGAAACGGAGATGAGCACCGCAACCCTAGAGTCGGATTTGACTGGCTTTCGAGCAAGGGAACCTTTACCTTTACTTACAGTAGACAAAAACTGGTCTGATATCAAATCAACCACTAGAGGGAGTGAAATGTGAAGAACAGGACCCTCCCCCGACCCCTGAAGAAACAGGAACTTCCAAGCAAGGAAGATGAGTATATGGGAAAGCCCCTTGTACTTTGTCTCTGTACAGATGCCCCTGGACATTTACAGACAGTAAAAATGAAATTGGTAGTGGTGGAGGGGAAATAACCCTGTGTGGAACTGTACATGGTTGGGGGGAGGGGGGGCTGTCCATGAACTAAAGTAAGAAAGGGAATGGCTGGGACCACTGTTCCCTCTAAGCTGAGTTAGTGTGAGCTAGCTCACAGTTTTTTAGCCTCCGGCTCACACATTTTTGTCCCAGCTCAGGAAGGATGACTCCGGAGCAAACTAATTTATGCAGTAGCCAAATAACTCGCTCACAACTTTAATGCCAGTAGCTCAAAAAGTAGAATTTTTGCTCACAAGATTCTACAGCTTAGAGGGAACATTGGCTGGGACCCTAGTTTAAAAAAGAAAGCAGGCAAAAGATGGCGCTACTTCCATCTTGCTTAGCTTCCTTCTTCCCTCCTCTTTTTAATGTACAGGCCTGCCGGAAGCGGTGGTGGTTTTAGGAACGTGTGTTTTTATGGCAAATGCGAAATCTGTGGTGGGAGATAGGGGTGGACAGAATTAGTGCACCAACAATTATGACCTGTAGGGGGAGCCCCTCTTAGGGAGAAGGTAGGTTCTTCTACGGTCATGGGTTGGGGGGGGGGAGGCAGTCATGGCAGCAAGGGATCATGGTCACCACTTGAGAGGCCCCAACAGTTGGGCCTGTAGAAACGTGCAATATCTGTTCCACCTCCCAAGCGTCACCTGATTTCTTTTTCCTCCTCCTCATTCCCAGGGTAATCAGATCCATGATGCTGCACGTGAAGTACCTGTACGGGATCAAGATTGAGGTGCGGGGGACAGAGAACTTCAATATCAAGGAGCCTTACGTGGCGGTGTCCAACCACCAGAGCTCGCTGGACTTGCTAGGTATGACTTGGCTGGGGGAAGAATTCGCCAGAGTACCAGAAAATTTCCCACGTGCTTGTGTGTGTCTTTCTTAGTTAGAGCGAGGTGGGTGGCCGTTAGCAGTCGAAAAGAGCAAGAGTCCAGTGGCACCTGGAAGACTACCAAAATTTGTGGCAGAGTGGGAGCTTTTGTGAGTCACTGCTCGTGTATCTGAAGGAGTTGCTGTGAGTTATCCGAAGAAGTAAGCGGTGACTCACAAAAGCTTCTGCCCTGCCACAAATTTTGCTAGTCTTTAAGGTGCCACTGGACTCTTGCTCTCTCTCAGCTGATCGTCATTGGCTAAATGTTGTTGTCCCATTATGATGTCAAAGGTTGCCTGTCAGTTCTGTGGTTTTTGGATGGATTGGCCAGTCCAGTTGAACTTGCTTATGAATATTAAAAAGTTGTGCTTAAAGAGGGGGAAGCATTTGTTGCTTTTAGACCATGCACCGGTATGTTGCTGCGGGCGTCATTCACGCATGCAGGAAACTTGGGTGGTGAAATGGACTGTACTGACTGCAGGTGGCAAGCTTTTTCACATAGAGAAACTCATTGCAAATAAAAATGAGACACCTGGGGGTAACGCACTGCCGCTTTTGCTTCCAGTTTGGTGTAGGAATTAAGAGTGGCGGACTTTAATCTGGGGAATCGGGTTTGATTCCCCACTCCTCCACATGAAGCCAGCTGGGTGACCTTGGGTCACTCACAAGTTCTCTCAGAGCAGTTCTCTGTGAGCTCTCTCAGCCCCACCTGCCTCACAGGGTGTCTGTTGTGGGGAGGGGGAGGCAGGTAGATTGTAAGGCGCTCCGAGACTCTGAGTGAAGGGCGGGGTATAAATCCAGTCTCTTCTTCTCTCTTCCTCTTCCGGCGCTGGTTTTCTCTTTGCAAGAGGCTTTTTGCAGAGGGGAGAATCCCAAAATGTGACCCTCCACCGCCAGGTTGAAATGGTGCACCTGATTCTTCCACCCCACGCCACCTGTTTCCCCTGCATGTGTCACCATGGCTTTTACAAGTGGCATTCCCTCCTGTGCATAAGGGAGAAGGCCTCTTCTTCTAAGGGGGCTCCTTCCCCCCCCCTCGACTTTTGCAAGAACTCTTGTTTAAAAAATCTGCTGCTTGATCAATCAGTCAGAAGGGTTTTGAATTCAGTTTCCGAGGGTAGCCACATCGCCGTGCGCATGAGCTGCCGCTCATGAACACAGGAAGCCCCGCTCAGCAGCAGTCTGGAGCCGCACAAGGTCTCGCACCGCCCGTTTTAAGGTTACAGCGGTTCTGTTCGGCTCAAGATGTGAACAGCTCCGCTCAGTAAGGGGATAAAATTAGAGGAAACATGGGCGGAGCCAGGTTCGGGTCCAGTTTCCCCTTAGAGACCAACAAAAATGTCTGGGGTTAAAATGTTCAAGAGTCAAAGCTGTCCTTGTTCAGATAACTCTGAATCTCGAAAGCTCCTACTCCGAAAATCTTGTTGGCCTCTGAGGTGCTTCTGAATGTTTCCGGTCCGTCAGTCAGGTTCCCCCCCCCCTTTCCCACCCACCAGAGTGGCGTTTGGTGGCTTGCAAAAGCCTTGCTGGACTGTGTCCAGTGGGCCCACGTAGTGTTTGTGTAGCCATTGTGTCAGCTGGTCTTCGTCTGTATTGCTCTTCCAAATGGTGAGATGAAACTCGCCAGTCTCCTGTTTCCCCCCGGCTTCTGATTTGGGCTCAGAAGAGTGGTAAGCAATGTTCCCTCTAAGCTGTAGAGTCTTGTGAGCAAAAATTCTACTTTGTGAGCTACCGGCATTAAGGTTGTGAGCGAGCAATTTGGTTACTGCATAAATTAGTTTGCACTGGAGCCATCCTTCTTGAGCTAGGACAAAAATGTGTGAGCCGGAGGCTAAAAAATTGTGAGCTAGCTCACACTAACTCAGCTTAGAGGGAACACTGGTGGTAAGATATTTTTTCCCCTCAATAGGACAGTTCTGGTGACTGGCTTACCAAATAGGGTCACATGTGATCCATGGTGAGTGACCGCTTAGCTGGTGAGCAAACATAAAGAGCAAACCACAAGGAAACAGTAACATAAGAACATCCAGAAGAGCCCTGCTGGATCAGACCAAGGGTCCATCTAGTCCGGCATCCTGTCTCACGTGGTGGCCAACAGAGGCTGAGGCCTTCCCCTGTGTTGCCTCCTGGCACTGGCGTTCAGCGGTTTAGTGCCTCTGGATGGGGAGGTTCCTCTCAGTCACCATGCCTGTTAGCCACTGATAGATAGCAACCCTCCATGTGCATCTGCTGAAGCTCTGTAAGATGTTCTCTTGTCTTTGTGCTCTGTGGGAGGGGGGGGGGAGAGAGAGCTGGCCCTGAGCCCATGTGTTTCTGTCCCATTGGGAGAAGGCATTCTGGTTGCAGAGAACTTGCAAGGAATCTTGGTCCTGAGCTTGAAAGAAAACAGCTCTGGTTTCTCATCCTGCTCGTTTGTGCCCCAGGGACTTACAGAGCTGCCTTGTGCGTACTCAAACCGTTGGCCCACGTAGCTCAGTTTTGCCCGGCCTAACCCGCTGCAGCTCTCCAGAGCTTCAGGGAGAGAAAGATATTTCTCACCAACCGAGCTTGTTTTAACTAGAGGCGGGGGGGGGGGGGGATGACTTTCTGCACACCCTGTGTGTGTTCAGCTGTTCCCCTGAGGCTATTCAAAGGATCGTTTTTTGGGATGTGCCACAGAACTGTGATTTATGCCAACTGGGATCGGTTTATGAAACCAGGATTGGCTCACGGGCGATCGTTCAAGTCCTGGTTGGTCTTCACAGGGGCTGACATCGCCCCCTTCGCTCTGTCCCCACTGTGGAGAACTGTCTGTGATGAGAGCGGCCCTGGGGATCAAGCCAAGACTTCCCCATTCTGGCATCTTCTCTGACCTTAGCGAAGACCAGCCGTGGCTTAGAGACCGGTTTCCAGCCTGGGTTCTCCTGACCCCGGGTTGATGTACCCTCACAAACCGTAGTCATGGAGCGGACCATCTTCCGGTGCTCAGACTAACCAGCGTTAAATTAAGTCCTGGTTTCGTGTGACATCTGAACTGTATTTGTGTCAGCTACGCTGCCATGGGGGTTGGGGAGCTTGGTCTGTGTCTGGTTAATTGCTACTGCATTCCTTTCTGTGCTTTTCCTGCTTTGCGCCGAAATGCTTATCTATACAGATGTGCAGGAGGGAGATGTATTGTCTGGGTTTTTCCTAGGTGCCGTGAGAGAGTGTTGGTTCTCAGCTTTAGCTACCTAACGGTCCCCAAGCTTTATCCCGCGCGCGGGAGGATGCCTAATTGGCCAGTGCGCTGGGGGGGTGCATACGAATACCCTATATCCTATTAGGCCCATGGGGCCGCCGCCATTCTTAACAGTGCTTATGTTACTGCATTCTGCAATAAAAGTATTACCGTTCCTGAATGCGTGTACTTCGTTGTTGGCTGTGGGTTCTGACAATTTGAAAAGCAGGCCTGACTTTCCTGAACAGGGAGCCCACCAGTGGCTTGAACGGGCCACTTGTGCAGAGCTGGTTGGCTCCCTACACACACATACGCACATACACCCCCCCAGTTGTGACCTGCTTTTTAGAATACGCTTTCTTGGCAACCAAGAACCATGCCTGACTCCTCAGAATGGCCAGCTGCTTTGCCTCCGGAAAGAGGGCCAAACGGGGAGGATCACCCACAGGCTTCCCTTTCGCGTGAGAACATTTTTTGAAGCTCCCCCCCCCCCCAAGCCTTACTCGCTTGCCTGCCTACAAATATCACATGTCAGTAGTCGGTAGGAACAGCAGGAACCAGCTCTTTCCCCCAGCTCTCAGAGATGTGCTTGTTTGGTCGCCTGGAGGTGTTTCTTTAGTTACCCCAGGTAACCAGGCAGACGTCATAGGGTGGAGGAACAGGGTTAGTGTCAAGCGCAGCAGCTGCTGCATACGCAAGTCGTGGTGGGTGAGAGGATGCTGGCTGTTCAGGGATCCTGGGTGCCAGCATGGGGTATTTGTCGGCTGGGGAGGGGGAGGGAGAAGACCTTGTGCTGAGCCACCCTGGAAAGGTTCTGTCCTGAAGCAGGCAGGGCCCTCTCACCCATGGCCCCGAATGACCTTTGCTCTCTCCTCCGCAGGGATGATGGAAGTGCTTCCGGACCGGTGCGTGCCGATCGCCAAGAAGGAGCTGATGTACATGGGCACGGTGGGCCTGGCGTGCTGGCTGGGCGGCATCATTTTCATCAACCGCAAGAAGACGGACGACGCCATCAGCGTCATGTCTGAGGCCGCCCACACGATGTTGCGCGAGGATGTGAGTCCCGTGGGGCGGGGGGAGCAGAAGGTCCTGGGAGATCTAGAAGGAAGGCTTGGGGGGGGGGAGAGAAAGCGAGGGGGTGTGTCTTCAGAGCAGGGGGTGGAGAGGGCAAGCCCGGATGGAATGCCAGCGAGGGAGGAACCAGCGGAATGTTGCTCAGTTTAAAATTTCCCTTTAAGAACCTAAGAAGAGCCCTGCTGGATCAGACCAGGGAGGGTCCATCCAGTCCAGCTCACACAGTGGCCAACCAGTTCCTCTGGAGGGCCAACAGCAGGGCTCTTGGCTCTGGGATTCAGAAGTTCATTGCCTCTGATGTCCATGCCAGATTTATGGTGCAGTCCTGTCATGGGCCCGTACCACCTCAGAATATACCTAGAGGGCAGAGAAAATGCTTTTAAGAGAGGATGCCTCATCTCTTTGCAAAAGGAGAATGACTTTGCCGTCTGAACTTCGTGCGTGAAGAAAGACATTGCTGGAACAGGCTCTTTCGCTAAATTACAGTTAAGGAAGCTTAACTCCAGCTTTGCCAAAGTATCATCAAAACTGGGGTTAATATGGGCAAGAGAGCCCGTTTGGTGTGGTGGTTAGGAGCGCGGACTCTAATCTGGGAGAACCGGGTTTGATTCCCCACTCCTCCACGTGCAGCTGCTGGTGTGACCTTGGGTCAGTCACAAGTCCTCTCAGAGCTGTTCCCTCACGAGCAGTCCTCGAAAGAATTTTCTCAGCCCCACCTACCTCACAGGGTGTTTGTCGTGGGGAGGGGAAGGGAAAGGGGATTGTAAACCCCTCTGAGACTCTTTCAGGTAGTGAAGGGCGGGGTATAAATCCAGTCTCTAATCTGGGAGAACCGGGTTTGATCCCCCACTCCTCCACATGCAGCTGCTGGTGTGACCTTGTGTCAGTCACAAGTTATCTCAAAGCTGTTCTCTCACGAGCAGTCCTCGAAAGAACTCTCTCAGCCCCACCTACCTCACAGGGTGTCTGTCGTGGGGAGGGGAAGGGAAAGGGGATTGTAAACCCCTCTGAGACTCTTTCAGGTAGTGAAGGGCGGGGTATAAATCCAGTCTCTAATCTGGGAGAACCGGGTTTGATTCCCCACTCCTCCACATGCAGCTGCTGGTGTGACCTTGGGTCAGTCACAAGTCCTCTTCTACTTGGAAGGGAAACCTCCAAGGAATACCTGGGCTGGGATGCAGAGGCAGGCAATAGCAAGCCACCTCTCTGAAATGTCCAAGCCCCACTAGTGGTCGCAAGAGGTCAACCATGACTTCCAGGCGTACACACTTGCACGCCAAATACTCACAAAAAACCCTTGGGATTAATAGAGGAGGCAGCCATGGCTAGACCAGGATGTGACCCCCCAGTCGATACCCAGTCATATTCCAGGGATCAAAAAGGGAAGGGGGTGCATTGGGGGGAGGAGGATTTCTGCTTGCTTTTGTGCTGAGGCTCCACAGGGTAGGACGTCCGCGTTCTATTTTAGCCCTGGATGGTGCTGGGTGCCTCTGAGCACGTGCAGAGGTACCCTTCCCACCCGGTCCTCCCCCCGAACACCAGCCACATGGGAGACTTCCAGAGCGCGACACTCTGACCCCTGGCTAGGGGTATCTGGAGCAGGTGATCCAAGGGTTTCCAGTTTGACCGGGCACTGCAGAGATCTCCCCTGAAGAAGCTAACCTCCGGAGGGACTTGGGAACGGTGGCCATGACCTCGGTTGTTGAGGGCAGCAGCTCATGACTTCTCCCCCCCCCCTGCAGGTTCGGGTCTGGGTGTTCCCAGAAGGCACCAGGAATCACAGTGGCTCCATGCTGCCCTTCAAGCGGGGCGCCTTCCACTTGGCCGTGCAAGCCCAGGTAAGAGGCACGTGGCTCCTCCTGCTTCTCCGCATTCCGTAGAATCATAGAGTCGGAGGGGGCCAGATGGGCCATCCAGTCCAACCCCCTGCCCAGTGCAGGATCAGCCCAGAGCATCCCTGGCCAGTGTTTGTCCAGCCGCTGCTTCAAGACTGGCAAAGAGGGAGAGCTCCCCACCTCCCGAGGCAGCTGATTCCGTTGTCGCACAACTCTGACTGTCAAAACCTTTCCCCTGAGATCCAGCCGTGACCTTCCCGCCCTTAATTTAAACCCATGATTGTGAGTCCTGCCCTCTGTTGCCTTCTGCTTCCCTCTGCTCCACCTCAGCAACTCAGCCTGTGCTGAGACTTCACAACGTGTGGTGCCCTCCCAGACCTGTGGTGTGTATCCCTTTCTCGGCTGTTCAGCCTGGTTCATCAGTTTAGGCTCTTTGCCAGATCCGACAGTCCCCTTCGGCAGGCTGTCTATGGCTGTCGCAGCCTTGGGACCAACTGGCGAGGCCGAGAGTCAGGAGGTCCACAGGTCATGTTTCTCCTCTGCCACAAATCTGCCCGGCGGCCGGTGGCCAGCGGTCTCTCTGTCGGCTTCCTTTATATCCGCAATGGGGGACAGTGCCGCTGACTCACGTCGCGGACCCGGCTGCCCCAACCCCTGCAGGATTGTTGAGAATCTGAAATGCTCCTCTGTGCTCTTTGAAGGGGACACGAAGGTTGTGCCGGGGCCAAAGCTCAGCCGGAAGTTACTTATCTGTCGGTCAGTCTTTTGCTCACAGAAACAGCCTTGTTCAGTGGTCAGAGCAGCGGTCCCCAGTGTGGGGCCCGTGGGCACCGTGGGGCCCGCCGACCCCTTTTCTGGCAGCCACCAAGCATTTTCGGAAAGTGGGCAGGGACGGCCCAATAAGGCTTCTGGTTGGTCATTGGAGATTTGATTGGCTCTGCAGATTTAAAAAGGTTCTTACCTGTAAAGCCATACATGGCCAGGGTCCGGCATACCTGAGGGATCGCCTTTCCCCATATGTTCCCCCAAGGGCACTACGGTCGGGGACGCAGCACCTCCTGGTAACTCCAGGCCCCAAAGATGTTAAACTGGCTGCAACCAGGGCCTTTTCGGTGGCGGCTCCTATCTGGTGGAATGAGCTCCCGGAAGAGACTCGGGCCCTGCGTGACCTTGCACAGTTCCGCAAGGCCTGCAAGACGGAGCTATTCCGCCAGGCTTTTGAGTAGGAGCCGCCACCACCATTATACCATCACCACACCACTATTATACCATCACCGTTCCACTATTATCTAGTGGAGCGGGCATCATTGGGGGGGAATGAGATGGCCCTGGGATGAAGAGCTGATGGCAGTGCTGTGTGGAACTCCTGTTGTTCTCGGTCTAACCTTCCAGAACCCCATCTTGTGGTTAATGGATTTGTGACAACCAGAGCACTCGCACCTTATTGTATCGTATAAGATGTTTTATTCTGTTTTTAACTGTTTTAACCTTGGCATACGTTCCTCTTCCGTTAGCCGCCCTGAGCCCGCTTTGGGGAGGGCGGGGTATAAATTTAATAATAAATATAAATAAATAAATAAATAAATAAAATGTCTTAACAAATGTGGGGAATATGAATATTAAATGGAAATAGGCATTAACTATGGGACCAATAACCTATGTATATGGGAGTCTGATTTTCCAGATCTCAGAAATACAGCTTAGAAGGAACACTAGCTGCCACCACAGCACAAGGATCTTCAATGTGTGACTGAAGGCACGCTGGGGCAGCCATTTTGTTACTGGCTCCGCCTCCTGCAGCAGCCATTTTGTGGCTGCCCCTACCCTGTTGTGTCAGAATTCCAAAGGTACCTGCAGTCTCAGAAAGGCTGGGGGACCCCTGGGCTTCAGTGCTCAGCAAGGATTGAGAAGTCTGGAATTTGTATCTCTGCTCAGCCAGGATTCTTGCTTTGGGCCATTCATGTTCTGTCTGAACTACTTTGCAGGTTGTTGGAATCATAGAGTTGGAAGGGACCTCCAGGGTCATCTAGTCCAACCCCCTGCACAAGGCAGGAAATTCACAAATACCTTCCCCAAACACACACCCCAGTGACCCTTGCTGCATGCCCAGAAGATGGCAAAAAAACCCCTCCAGGAGCTCCGGCCAAACTGGCCTGGAAGAAAATTGCTTCCTGACTGCAAAGTGGCAATCAGCATTTCCCTGGGAGTATAAGAAAGGGACACGAGAACTGAGCACTGATGCAACCCTTCCTGCCCTCCCTCTCATGATCTGCCTACGTTGACAGAATCCGCACTGCTGTCAGATGGCCATCTAGCCTCTGTTTGAAAACCTCCAAAGAAGGAGAGCCCACCACTTCCAGAGGAAGCCTGTTCCACTAAGGAACCGTTCTAACTGTCAGGAAGTTCTTCCTAATGTTCAGCCAAAAACATTTCTGATTTCATTTCAACCCGTTGGTTCTGGTTCGACCTTCTGGGGCAACAGAAAACAACTCTGCACCATCCTCTACATGACAGCCCTTCCAGTACTTGGAGATGGCTGTCCTATCACCTCTCGGTCGTCTCCTCTCCACCAGCTCCTTCAGCCTCTCCTCATAGGACTTGGCCTGAGTTTGGAGGGAGGAAGAACTGTGTATGCCGCCCTCGGCTCCTTGGAGAAGGAATGGATGGGTTAAAATGTGACCCATGATGCCATATCTGAATTTGGGGGGGGGAACCATCCTCTTCTTCCGTTGTTGTTTTTTTTAACTCCTCTTCTTCCCCTCCCCCACAGGTCCCTGTTATCCCAATTGTGATGTCATCCTACCGGGATTTCTACAGTAAGAAGGAAAGGCGCTTTACCACAGGCGAGTCCAACTTGCAGGCCTTGTTTTAAAATCCTGACCCGGATAGACCGGTGTCTGCCCCCACCAGGAGGCGATTCCAGAGGAGTAGCTGCCGTCAGTCCGTTGGCAGCAGAATCAGACAGGAGCCCAGTGGCCCCTTGGAGCACCAAGAAAAATGGACTCTGGTGTGAGCTTTCTGTCAGTCCGAGCTCACTTCCGCAGATGTCTAACGCATCTCAGGAAGTGAGCTCTGACTCGGGGAAAGCTCATTGAGAGCCAGTTTGGTGTAGTGGTGAAGAGCGCGGACTCTAATCTGGGAGAACCGGGTTTGATTCCCCACTCCTCCACTTGCACCTGCTGGATGACCTTGGGTCAGTCCCAGTCCTCTCAGAGCTGTCTTCTCAAAGACAGTTCCGGAAAGAGTTCTCTCAGCCCCACCTACCTCACCGGGTGTCTGTTGTGGGGCGGGGAAGGGAAAGGAGATTGTAAGCTGCTCTGAGACTCCAAGTGAAGGGTGGGGTATAAAGCCAAATGCCTCTTCTTCTGTTCTAATGTCATTTCTGTTTTCCCCCCCTCTCCCCTGCCCTGCTTGTTTCCATCTGTACTCCCATTGAATTCCTGTCATCCCTCCCCTCATCCGCCCCTGTGTTCCCTTCTCTGCTCCCTCCCTCTGCCGCTTCCCTGCCTGCCTCCCCTGCTGCAGGGCGCTGCACGGTCCAGGTCTTGCCTCCCATGCCCACGCGGGGGCTGAGCGCCGACGATGTGCCCGCCCTGACAGACCGCGTGCGCCAGGCCATGCTTGTTGCCTTTGAGGGGCTCTCAGGGGAGCTGGGTGCCCCACAGTGACCCCCTTCTCCCCCAACTCTCCGGCCCTAGGGAGCTCCAGGGTAGGGACTGGGAGCTGCTTATGCCCGTGAGGAGCCAAGGAGGCGGGGCCAGAACGGAAGAGGGCGGAGCTCATTCCCAGCAACGGGACCAGGAGTGTCAGAGCCGTGCTACCACCAAGCATGGAGGGGATGGATTGGCAGCGGTGTGTCTTGCGGGGGGAGTGGGTGGGGCTTAAGTTGGCCACGCCCACAAGGAGCCACCTAGGCAGAGTCGATCCCGGCCATGCCTGTTTCCACCTTCAGTTCTGAACCGAAATTCTAGCCTATTCTTCTCCCTCACCCCCTTTCCCCCTCCTGCACCCCAGGGTGCGTGGTACAGTCCCTCCCGCCACTCCTTGTTTTGTTGCTGTGAACCGTTCCACTCGGACTTCTTGGACTCAACCACTCCAATCCCCACGTGGTGGGGGGAACTCTCATGAACTGGATCGCAGGCACTATACAAACTGAGCCGCCCGCCGCCACCCCCCCCCCCAGTTCAAATGGGGAGAAGCCAGAGGGAGAGACGGATCCGAGGAGTGTTTTGGGGTTGGAGGAGGGGGAGGAGGCCAGCGTGAGCTCCTCTGGACGTGAAACGGGTCGATGGTCCAGGATTGATTCATCCAAGCTTTTCATGAAGGGAATCTGAGGAAACAGCCTCCGTTGGCCTCAGTCCACTCCACCCTCTCCCCGAGAGGACCCGTTCCTGGCTCTGCACAAGAAGGAAGCCGCGGATTCGATCTGTCCTAATCTCCAGCGAGGGCAGGTTGGGGGCGGGGGGGCTTTGCCTGAAGAGGACCTCCTTGGACTGAACGGGGGCTCTAATAAAAAGGAAAATCATGGACAGGACTGCTTCCCTCGCTGGAGGAGAACAGTGGGGGTGGGCGAAGGGGGAATGCACTAGGCTCTGTACTTTCACCTGGACGGGCGAAGGGGAGCATGAAGGAGCTCTTTGCGTGTGCGTGCGTGTGTGTGTGTGGGGAGGGAGCTGAGATCAAGGGACTTGCTCTGTTTGCATTCTGTTTGAGAGGTAAGTCTGGGGCCGTTCCACTTTTTGGGGAGATCCCACCGTGGGGGGGGCAGGGCGGGTGAGAATACAATATTCGTGCCTCCCCTCCCTTTCTCAGTGTTGAAAAAGTAACTCTCCATCTTCTTAACCCTTCTTAACCCGAGGTCTGTGTGGGATGAATAAAATACAGCCCCCCCCAATAAATTAACGGGGGGGGGGAGCCATGCACTGGAATCTCTGAGGTGAAGAGGGTGGCCTTCGTCTCTGTTGTTTTCGGTCGAAGCCGAGCTGAAGTGGGTCTCTCAGGAGGGCAAGGAGCCAAAAGTATTGGGAGGATGTGAAGGGAAAACAGCTGAGGAAGGGGGGACAGTGGTGCTGGATATGTAGAAGTTCCCCCAGGCCTGAAGGAGGCAGAATAGTGTGAGAATTAGAGATCTGAGATAACAGCATGTGGGGAGGGGGGGTGGCAAATGGTGGATGAGGTGCCTGGGAAAGGGGAAAAGTGGTACCGTATTTATTCACAGATCAGTAGGGGTGGGTTGGGATTGCCAAATTATTCCCTGTTTTTTTCGGGGGGGGGGGACGAGCCTCTGCTCCTCTTCTGCCTTTAGGGAATCTTTTGTGTGTGTGGTTTTTTCACCCCACCCCCCTCCAGAATATCTCTGGTCCTCTCCGTCGCTGGAGACCCACTCGCCTGTCCTTCCGCCAGTGAAAGGAGGTGCCTTTCCTTGGGAGAGAAGGGCGGGGGGAGTGTTGTCGGAGGAGGCGGGAAACGAGGATCGAAGGGGGGGCGTCACCAAGTCTGTGTTTTCAAGATCTTCCTGCTTTTAATAAAGCCCCTCAAACAAGCCCCATCTTTTGTGTTCCGTCTTGTTCCGCCAACCTAGGGCAAAAGTTGTGGATGGTCACGCCTGTGTGCTTTCCTACCCCTGTCGGTGGAGGCAGAGGAAGCTTTTTAAATGGATCTCCGCCCTTTCCCCAGCCAAGCAGTCCTCACGCCCCCACGCTTACCCCCCCTCCCAACCAGAACGAACAGGATGATAGGCACGCAGCCACAGACAGTACAGGAAAAGATGACAAACAAGATCCGAGTTTGACACTATGCAGATTTTTTGAAATGTCCCATCCTGGCCGTTGCTGCTCAAACTACAAGGATCTTCAGTGTGTGGCCAAAGGTAAGCTGTAGCAGCCATTTTGCATCAGCCACCTTGTGGCTGCACACACCACACTGTGTGGGAATTCCAAAGGCACCTGCAGGCTCAAAAAGGGGACCTCTGGTATGGGGAATTCGCGTTCAGTGCAGGCTGCTTCATGGCCTCCTGTCCCTGGACTACAAAGCAGAGGCTGAGAGTTGGAAGGGGCCTTGTAGAGACTTAGTACAAACCTAGAGATGGCTGCCCAGCCTTCGGCGAGAGGGATCCCACCCACCCCCCATTTTCATCATTGTGGCTTCTTTACAGGCACGACTGGGGACTGCACAGTTGCAGGCCAGCCACAGAAAAGATTTCCAAGCTTCCTAACAGACTAGGAACGCCCCTCCTCCCTCTGGTGCTTTCCTGCTACTCCCTCAGTTCACGTTTTGCCACCATGGAGAGAAGATCTCCACTGCTCCTCTCTGTGTTTTTCCTCACCTCATAGTTTTAAGGCTGAGGCTTTTCTCTCTCTCAACAGTTTTCACTCTAGTGAACAATAATGTACATCAAAGGAGAAATGTTTTCTGGATTTCCACTGTGTGATGACTAAAAATGGTGCTGATAAAACAGCCATTCTCTGTGCCTTGGCTGCCTAGGGGTTCACACGGCAGAGCTGCCTGTGTGCCAGCAGTCTGGATGAAGGCATATCTCCCCACCCCCCTTCCCGGTGAGGTGTGGTAGAATAAGAGCCGGGCCTCAATGGCCCTCTTCAGAGGCTTCACCTGTGTGCCAGCAGCCTGGATGAAGGCGTATCCCCCCCCCCCGTGAGGTGTGATGGAAAAAGAGCCTGGCCTCCCCCCGTGAGGCGGGAAAAGGGCCTGGCCTCAATGGCCCTCTTCTGAGTTTTTGCCTGTGTGAAGGCATATTCCCTCCTCCCTGGTGAGGTGGGAAAAGGGCCTGAATGGACCTCTTCAGAGGCTTCATCTGTGTGCCAGCAGCCCGGATGAAGACATATCCCCTCCTCCTCTAGTTCTGAAGAGTGGCTGAAGTGGGTGGGTGGAGTTTCCCCTTCTTGTTAGTCATGTCCTGAGACAACAGACTATTTATGCTTCAGTCCTGCTGTGCTTTATTTTACCACTCACTCAATTGGGACTGCCTGGATTCCAGGGTCAGAACCAGATCGCTGCCGAGCTCCACTCCAAGCCCTTTTCCTAAGACCTAGTTTTAAAGGCTGACACAGTGACACAGCAGCCCCAATCCACTGCCTTGCTGCAGTCTCTCTGCACTGATACTTAACTCTACGGGGCTTTTCCAATACAGGTGTTTCAAGCACAGGCAAGGCTTACTGTTGCCATCTTCATGGGGAACTCAAAAGTGATTGACAAGTATGCTTTGGGAGGCAAGCCTAAGTAGTTTGCCACTCCTCTCGGTGCCATGGTATCCTTCAGAACCATCAATGAATTGGGGGACTCCTTAGCTGCCTGCCACTGTTTTAGTTAACATTGGTAACCCTGCCTGAGTCACTCTTATGAGACATCATTTACGGCAAGACCCAGTGTCATATATGGATTCAGTGTTGGTCTGGCTCTAGGAGACCAGGTTTAGATAACAAATTGTGTTACAACTTGCGGACTTTGCGCCTTCACAGCTTCTCATGCTGCCCTACCTTGTACGGTTCTAGTGAGGATTTAAAAAAAGAAAGAAAATGAGGTGTTGTAAGACTCATTGAGTCCAGGTTAAGGAGTAGGATAGACTGGGTTCTAGTGAGGATTTAAAAAAAGAAAATGAGTTGTTGTAAGACTCTTTGAGTCCAGGCTAAGGAGTAGGATAGACTCCTTACCACTCTTTTTACAGGACAGCATATGTTTTTTCTTCTCAAAACAGTTGCCCCAATAGACAGGGTGTCTGACATGCAAACTATAATTAATGGCTCTTGTTCCATCCTCTTCTACAATTCCTTAATATGTTTGATTCCATGGGTCATCTCTATTCCTGTTGGCCTACAGGTCAAATAGCGCTTGCTCTTTATTTAACCAGTGCAGAGTATTAATGCAGAAAATTAACCCGGATGGGGTGCAGTTTTTTTCTAATCTGCACTTTCCCATTAGTTACGAATCAACAGGTCATTAAGACCTTTTTGGTGTTCCATTTGAACGTATTTTAATGCACTGTGGCTCACAGCCTATGCTGGTGATTTGCATAATAAATTTGTTCCTTTATTTTGAATTAGTCATGTTACCCTACAGGTAAGTGCAACCTTGTTTTACCTTCTCTGGCCAAACACAGCCCTTGCTGCCCATGTGTGGCAGCCTACCACAGGATCAGTTAAAAACTAAAACGGTTTTCTGAGTACCTTCCAAAGTCACGCTTTGTGTTTGGTGAACGATGTTTGGCTGGGTAAGGTAAAGGTTCCCTTAAGGTAAAGGTAAAGGTAAAGGTTCCCTTGCTCAAAAGCCAGTCGAGTCCAACTCTAGGGTTGCGGTGCTCATCTCCGTTTCAAAGCCGAAGAGCCAGCGCTGTCCGAAGACATTTCCGTGGTCATGTGGCCGGCATGACTAAACACCAAGGCGCACGGAGCGCTGTTGCCTTCCCACCGAAGTGGTACCTATTTATCTACTTGCAATTTCTTGCTTTCGAACTGCTAGGTTGGCAGGAGCTAAATCTAGAGATGGGAGCTCACTCCATCATGCGGCACCCGGGTCTCGAACTGCTGAACTACTGACCTTCCACAGCCTGCACTTCAGCGTCTTAGCCACTTGAGCCACCGCAGCTCCTGGGTGGTTTGTAGCAAATTGCATGGTCTCGTGGTCTGACCAAGGACACCACCTTTGCATTCTCACGAGTGTTAAAAAAGAGCGAGAGTCCAGTAGCACCCTAAAGATTAACAAAATTTGTGGCGGAGAGGAGCTGCCATGAGTCACTACTTGTGAGCAGTTGTAGGGATGCCAGCCTCCAGGTGGGGCCTGGGGGTCACCCGGAATTACAGCTTATTCCCAGACTACGGACATCAGTTCCCCTGGAGAAAATGGCTGCTTTGGAGGGTGGGCTCTATGGCATTGGACCCCACTGAGGCCCCTGTCCTCCCCAGGCTCCACCTCCAAATTTATTATTATATATTTATTTATTTCTCAAATTTATACCCCGCCTTCCCAGCCAAGGCCAGCTCAGGGCGGCTTACAGGAAATGAGATATAAATTACAGTTAAAACAGCAAGAAGCAGCCAGGTAAGATGCAGAGCCCCCCCCCCTCCATCCCCCCAGTTCAAAACAGGCCAGTGGCACCTTTAAGACCAAGTTTTATTCAGGTACAAGCTCTCCCTTCTCTGCGAGGACAGATCTGCACGTTCCCCCACTCCCAATAGCTAGCAATCCAAAACAGTCCAGTGGAGCCTGAGCGGTGGCTGTTCCCTTCTGACACACTTCCGGTGATGTCAGGGGGTGTGGCATATGCAAATGAATTATGCTAATGAGCTCCTGCACCTCTTTTTCTACGAAATGACCCCTGGCTAAAACCAATTAATGATACAGTAAGTGCGAGTATTGTTGTAGCTGAATCAACGATGGCGACCATATTAGTTCTTTCTTCTCATAACCGGCTCCTAGGTCTGCTCCAACCTGGATCTGGCGATCCCCCCGCCCATGGCCAGGGGGACCTGGCAACCCGGTGATTCAGGAAAGCTCATCCCCTGCCACAAATTTTGTTCAGCTGCTTTCGGGCTCTTGCTCTTTTCTGGTGCTGCGGACAGACTAACCATCTTGATCTATCACAAGTGTTAGGAAATGACTGGCTGGCTTCCCATTTCAGATTTAGCGCTTACACCTAAGGTGTGTCACCTCGCATGACTTCACTGTAATAAAACCCTTCCCTCTCATGGAAAATAATCTTATACTGTTCTTAACAAAGTAGCTGCACAGCTTTTTCTCACAGTGCTGTTTGTTGCAGCCTTTGTGGCTGGATTACCTATCATGCGGGGTCTCAGCTCGACCTACCTCACAGGGTGTCTGTTGTGGGGAGAGGAAGGGAAGGTGAATGTAAGCTACAATGAAACTCCTTTGGGTAGAGAAAAGTGGGGTACAAAAACCAATTCTTCTTCATCATCATCATCAGGTACCATGCACACGAAAGCTTATACCCAGAATTAAACTTTGTTGGCCTTCAAGGTGCCACTGGGCTCAAACTCTGTTTCTGTTTTGTTCTATTTTGCTATGTCAGACCAGCACAGCCATTACCCCTTTGCCATTGACAGGGCGATCATATCAGGGATAGAGATGTGAAGGCCCAGAAAAAAACGAGAAAAAATCAGGGAAAACCCATTTTTTTGC